AAAAAAAGAAAAAGAAAAGAAAAAAAAAAAGAAAAGAAAAGAAAAGAAAAAAAAAAAGAAAAGAAAAGAAAAGAAAAAGAAAGAATGAAAGAGAAAGACAGACAGACAAGACAAGACTCAAACCCGTCACCCCCCTAGTCCAGCTGCCGTCTGAGACACCATGAACTCGGCAGCCAAGTGAGAGCATACGTATCTGGAGCTCTATGCAGTGCTACTTTGAACATTATTCCCCTTGACAATCCCGAAGGCTGATTCCCTCAGCCTTCAGTTCATGCCAGCAGTGGCAACCTAGATCCACTGGAGAGTTGCAAAAAGCCAGAAATGCATATGCACGCGTAAATAGAGTGACTTGACGTGTGTGTGTGTGTACGCATGTAACCCTCGCCCAGCTAATGCTCATCATTCATGGATTGAATTTAATTCCTTACCTCTCCATTTCCTGCTTGTATTTCTCTCATTCCATCCTACCAAGATAGGCACTATTTATAGAGAAAGAGATCCAGTTCTGCCCTCTTCTCTCATTGCATTCCACACCGAGTATATATTCGTGTGTGTGCACACCCACATGCACAGGTGTGACTGCAAGTCACTTTGTAAAATGTCAAGTGTGATCTAGACACTCATTACTAACACCTGACTCTGCATTTCTGCCTAATAACTAAATTGCCACTTTTCTCGTGTCATCTCCTCCTGCCTGCATCGTCACTTTAGTACATCAAGGGATCAAAATGTGGAAATCCTTTTAGTTCTTAAAAACGTTGCCTTCAAAGGAAAAATTCTGTAACTGACTTGATTTGACACAAATGGCTCCATATCACTATTCTTCCCTACATGGGTTTCAAATTTTCAAATGCAGTTTGGTGGTGTTTCTTTCTGATATCACATGTAATAACTGGTTATAATTAGGAATAAATTGCTTCTAGAGATGAAGACAGTATCTAATTGTGTTTAAAATAAACTGTACCTTTAATGTTGAGGCAACCTGGTTATTTACATTGTCCAGGGACTCAAGTAAAGAACCTGGAAATTTGCTCAGGTGAGAGCTGAGACCCAGTGCGCTGCAGATTCAAGGAGGGACACAGAGGCCACGGAAACTAAGGGCTCAGATTCTGGGATTCATAACAGGAGACCTGGATAAATGAAATTCGATGATTAGTTTTTTTCTCTTAAGAAGCAGATTGACCAGAAGTCCTATCAAAGGAGGTGATTTATGACACAGAAAACTCTAGAAATATTTCAACGAGCCCACAACACCTTCTGCCTAGGAAGGAGGATTATTACAGCCACAGGTGTGAAACAGACACAAAATGAGTCAAAGCACAGGTGAGCCAGATTGTTTACCATCACGCATACTCTAGGAACAAACATCCCAGGAGTCGAGCCTGAGGCTATGGGGCTCATGGATGAGGACCTACAGGGAAGACACAGGGCTGAGAGAAGGACAACCCAGACATCCATGGGTGATGCTGTGAGTGAAATATCAATATTTCCTGCTGTGGCTCTGAGCTCCATAAATCCCTAGCTAATAAGGTACCGATGACAGAGGTGCTCTTTAATAACTCTGAGGGTGTAATAATTGATGGCATAGCCAGCTGGTTGCCGCGATCAGATATAAATTAAATCATCTTTATTGTTTTATGTTTCCTCCGACTCCCTACCCCCCAACCCAGTCCAACCACCTTTCAGCCTCCCTTAACCAATCCTGAGAAAACAGTCTCTTTGCATCACTTATCAAATGACAAGAGCTGGAGGGAACGAGAGGAAAGAGGATGAGAAACATGTTTTAAATGATTCTCAGTTCCTTGGGCCAGAGATTAGTCTCTTGTTTTTGTAGGTTTTTTTTTCCTCAAACGCTGAACAATTACTTCCTTCCTGTACTTTCTTTGCGACCTGTACCAGGTCTGTAATGCCTAAGCATCCTTTCATCTAAGAAGCACGGCTTGGGGAACTCTGGTGGGCCAGGCCCCGTTCTAGGCACTGGGCAACTGGGCACCAGATGATAAGACAAGGTCACTCCCTCGAGGAGTTCACTGTCAGGGTGGCACGGAGGGAAAGGTGACGGACACATGTCATTGTTGTGATGAGGTGTGACAGTTGTCACAATGGAGATATAAAGGAGAGGACAGAGGAGGGCGAGATAAATGCAGCCCCAGTGGGGAAAACCCAGGGCAGGTGCAGAGAAGCAAATGGAAGAGAGGCCAGAAGGGCCAGTGTCAGAGAAGGGCCGGGTCAAACAAGGCATGTTCTGCACCACCTCCCCTGCCTCTCTCACTTTCTCTTTGTCCTGAGACAAAGGACCCAGGCAGCAATTAAGTGTCTTAAAGCAAATACAAACCTGGGTGGTTTGCCCTGGCTGCCTCTCGGTCTTTCCCCAGTGATCACCCTTCTTTTGTTCAACCACTGAATATCCTGAGTGCCTGCTAGGCACCAGACCATGAGCCCAGAGCTGAGGACAAGGAGAAACACAAGACGCCCTCCCTGCCTTCGAGATCACAGCCTCACCAGGAAACAGCCACGGGAACAGGTGGAGCCCACCACTAAGGGGATGTGATGAAGGTCCAGGCTCTGGCACCAAACTGTATCGGTCCATAATCCTGGCTCTGCCACTTACGAGCTGGATGACCTTGATAAGCTACTGGTCTTTCTGTGCCTCGGTTCCTCACCTGTATCACAGTGGCAGTGCCCACCCTGCAGAGTCACTGATGGGTCAGTAAGTGTTACAGTCTTAGAACAAAGCCTGGTGCTTTTTTAAGGAAGAGCTGTGTAAGCACTGCACACAACATACTGTCAATAATATGAAACGTATTAGCCACTGAAGCAGAAGCAATGTCCTCTGCAAGCACAGAGGAAGAAGCTCTGTGCCTTAGTGATAGGGAGGCTTCACAGAGGGGTGGTATTTAGACTCACTGACAAAGAAGTCTTTGCATCCTTTGTGGGCACCTACCTAGGAGACAACTGAACATCACTACTGGGATACACAAGACAGAGAAAAGGCTCCGACCAAGATGGAGGCGAGGTCAGGCCAAGGGTGATGTCGAAATGGCTTATGTGTGCAGATGTGGTCCTGAGCAGTCGACATGTAACAGAGTCTATCTTAAATCACTGGGAAAGATTTCTAGGTAAAAAAGCTCTTTAGAATCTTGCAAAGGTGAATTACTACCTAAAAAACTACCTTTATTTCTATATACACATTTTCACTATTTATCTTTCTTTGATTGCACAGACTTTTGCCTATTTGGTTGGCTGAGACCTGTGACAAGTTACTAACCCTCTCAAAACCCGTTTTTTTATCTGTAATATAGGGATAATAAAGTGCCTTTTTAAGGTGGTTGAGGCAATGTAAATAATGTATTCTCATAAGATACTTGTCAAAGTGACAAAATAGTGCATATTCAATAACTGATGGCTACAGTGTTAACTTGATGACGTTGACAATATGATGATAGTATTGGTGATGGCAACGGTATGAACATAGGAACACAAGGTCAAAAATGGGTCTTACCACGTCCTCTTACTCTCTCTAGCTCTTTGAAGGGTTTTGCACCTCTAATATTTATAACTCCTCCATTCAGTTTAACGTCTATAGGCTGGCAATGACTCTTTTCAAAGAAATGTAGATTAGACATTTGCTGATTGAATAAAAGATCTAAAAGCGTGAAAATCCGGGGAGAAGGGAGAGACACACATGCTTGTTCATTCTGAGTCTTTAAAATGTCTGCCTCTGGCTCCCCACTCAGACTGCAGCCCAGCAGACAAGGGCAAACAGCAACGTGAGCTGGCTGTGATCGGGTGGGACTATCAATCATGATGAGAGTTGAAATTGAATCAAATGGGGGCGTCTGTGCACACTATTTCACAATGCAAGCAAGAGGGCAAACCCAGTCTTGCGAAATAAACCAAGCTGCATGCTATTGGGCAACAATTCCTTCCACCCCTCCCTGATGGCTTGAGCTGCTTCCTGGCTTCTAAGAGCAATTCAGAGGCTCACACAGACGTTTCATATTGCAGGCACACCTGGGAGGTATTATAGGTTTGGCTGCAGACCACCACCAAAAGCAAGTCACACAAATTATTTGATATCCCAAGGCATATAAAAGATATATTTACACTATATTGTAACCTATTAGGTTTGCATTAGCATTATGTCTAAAAAACATACATACCTTTAATAATATTTTATTGCTAAAAAAATGCTGTCATCTGTGACTTCAGTGAGCCCTAATCTTTATGTAATAGTAATATCAAAGATCACTGATCACAGATCACCATAACAAATATAATAACAATGAAAAGTTTGAAATATTGTGAGAATTATCAAACTATGACACAGACACGAAGTGAGCAAATGCTGACAAAATGGCATTGACAGACTTGCTTGACACAGTGTTGCCACAAACCTTCAATTTGTAAAAATTGCAGTGTCTGCAAAGTGCAATAAAATGAGGTATGCCTGTATATCTTACTATCTACAGGAGGTTTCCTAGTCAAAAAAAAAATGGCAGCAAACTCCCGTGCAGAAAAATGATTTAGGGAAAAGAGGTGGAGCTGAGCTGGGGGCAGTGGGCAGCAGAAACCAAAGCTAGGTCTCTTAGAGGTGGTTGCCTACCATTTAGTAGTAACTTTCAGGGTTCCGGCATGCTGAGAAGCCTCCCCAACACCCCCAATCCTTCTCCATTCTAACTTGATGAAAGATGAAATGACATAAGGAAATTCTTTTATTATCTGTCCAAAAAGCAGAACCCCGCCCCCCAAGAGGTAACCACCAGCCATATGTTAATTTGAGCAAGTTTATCAGTTCCTGGTTGAGAGTCATTATCGACGGTTCATGAGAGAGAGGAGAGGGGCAGGTTCGCGGTGCTGTACTGGGCACTGAGAAGTCAGGAATGGTGGGAGAGATGCTCAGCAGGGCTAAGAAAGGAGACAGACACAGAAGATGGCAATAGGGCTACTGGCAACACTTGCCTATTTCATAGTGCTATGTACAGTTGACCTTGGCCTAGGCTTTGAGGAAGGCAGAGGACAGGGGAAGAAGTTAGGACGAGGAGAGACATGCAGACTTTCAACTTGGAGTCTGTCCAGAGGTATCCTGCCCACCCAAGCCCCGTCAAACATATGCAGATGGCAATGGTAATAAACTCAGATAATGATAGAGTCAGCATTTAAACTCACCATAGAATGCATAAATTACAGGGGAGGCTGTTACAGATGCAAAGGCTGGAAGCTTCATTGCTGGGGAGAGGAAGCTCTGATCCGCAGGTGCTAACTGGGTATCTCAGGCCAGGCAGGGAGTCCCATCACACTCTGGAACTCCTTCAGGGCTTCCTACAAGGAAAAGAAGTCAGAGGTCAGGCTATGCTGCTGCTGGGCATAGAAGTTGCTCTTGTAGGTTCAATGTCTTTTTTCCAGCCAGCCAAAGCAGCCCAGACTCCATCATTTCAATACACCTGCCTACTTACACCACTCCAGCTTCACAGGCTGCCTTGCGGTTCTGGAACCTGCCAGACACATCTTGCCTCTACCCTGTTTCCTCTGCCTGCATCCTTCTTCCTCCTGATAGGCATGTGTCTCACTCCTTTACCTCCTTTCTCAGAGAGGCTCATCCTAACTACCCTATTTATACTTACAGCCCTTCATGCCCCCTTACCCTTGGCCATAGAATTGATCCTTTTTTAACAGACTATATAATTAACTTTTTGCTGTATACTTTACTTATTTATTGGCTATATTGTTTATTATCTGTCTCCCTCTACTAAAATATAAGCTCCTTGAGGGTAGAAAATTTTGTCTCCCCTGGACACTCACACACATACACAAAGTATCGCACGCGCCTAGAACAGAGCCCGGTACTTAACAGGTATTTAGTAATTAAACATTCACTAAACGCATTATTAAAAGCTGTCTCCTTCTAGAAGTCAGAAGAGGGAGAACTTTCCTTCTCAAAAAAGTTGGATACAATTTATAAGGTGAATAAAATCTGTAAGATGACTGTAACAATTCTGTTTCAGGCACTCTCTTTCCCAAACTTGCAGTTTGTTACTGACTCAGGATTGAATACTCTTCCAATTAGTACAACACCTATGGTTCAGAAGCATATCATCTCCCAAGAACAAAAGGGGATCGGAGAAGCCCAGAGACCTGGGGAAAATATGCATCAGTTTGATTTCTCCCATGCTCACATAAAGATCAACTTGGAGAGTCATTATATATCATAACTTTTTAGAACTGAGAATAAACTTGCATCTGGTCCAATCACCTTATTTGAAAAATAAAGCATGGGAGATTAAATGGCTTGCCAAGGATCAAATATCCAATTAGCTGGAGCAGTGAGATCAAACCCCACGTCTGTTAATTTCCTATCCAGCACATGCTTCTTTTTCCTGTGCTGTCTCTGTGCAGCTTTACTAGGTAGGTTTTGTATCTAGGTGTTCCACGCAGCACCAAAAATTCACTCTCTGAGCAGCTCCTTATTAAGGGCTCTCTCAGGGATCCATTTTTCACAGGGTATCGCTGCTTCAGCACCTCTCCATGTGGACAGCAGCCAACCCAGTTTATTCTCACCAGTCTATACTTTACTGAACATCTGACTGCTTTCACTTCTATTTACACGATTAGCCAGTGCTCATTCTTTGCGTTCAGAAGTAAGCCTTTTCAGAGGGTTTGATGATCCATGGCCATTTCTCACTAACTTACAGATCTAGTGGTCTAGCCAGATTTTTCAGCATTATACCAGCAGTGCCTAAAGCAAATTCTGAAAACTAGTAATTCTTAGGAATTTAATAGACACTTTGGTATTAAAGAGATCAGTATGCATATATTTACATAAGCACATGTAAATAACTTTCCTTCGGTGCCCTTTAAAAGGTGCATTACAAATTTCCAAGAGAGGTGTGTAATACGCATTATTTCTCAATCTAAATTGACCATGAAACCTTTTATTGTGCAGCATCTCACAGATCTGATGAGAACGTGTTTGGGAAATGCCTCTCTATAAGGTCAAAATGTCTAAGAGTAGAAGGGAAAGAGCTATGGGGAGCATTAGAGAAGAAAAGCAGGGGCTAGGATAAGTACCAAAAAAAAAAAAAGGCAGGCATATGAGTCCAAGTATAGTGGCGCTATGGAATAGTAAAAATGTAAGGATGCATCAAAGATTCACCACATCTTTCAAGACAAGGGGCCTCTCTCCTAGATCTGGGAAGTGGAACTTCCCCCATAAGATGCCTAGTTGCTCATTAGCAGGGCCCAAGCCTCTGAAGTTCTAAATACAAATCACCAAGGAGCTGAAATCCACCCCTAAGCCTCTGATTTTAGCGGCTTATGCCTTTCCAGAAGAATTAACTTGCCTACTGAAATGGCTCCTGCCCAGGGCTGGAAAGGTTTGAATAAAATGCATTTAGCTACTATCTAAAGATCTTAAGTCACTGAGCTAAATGCAAGAGCCTTTTGTTAAAAATCACACTCAACTAGATATTGAGGTTTATTACATACTTTCTCCAATTTTCCTTCGCCTTTTATGTAATCTCAGCTGGGCTGATTTGCCTGCATTCTTTCCACTGGAATCTTCTTATTACTCCCAAGACACAACAGAGAATCACCAACCCTGTACAGAAGGGCACATGGCTGCAGCTGGATTAGAAAAAAGGGGCTATTTATACTCAAGTCAATAGGCAGATTTTAGTATAACACTTGCAGGCTTTCTGCAAAGAGAATGAAAGAAAAGAAAATGCAGCCCCTTTTCCATTCTTCTTTGCTGTATTATTTGCCCCATAGTATGCCTGTCACATGGCCCAGGGCAGTGTGATCTAATAATGATAGGCTTGCTTGGCACAGGGGAAGGGAAAATCCAGCTGCACTGGGGGGTTTGGGGGATGTCACAGACAGCTGGCCCGGCCCTCACCCCCTGTGGATTTCAGGGTAAACAACCAGGATGTTGCTCATCCCACTTGCATGGAATCCCTCCCAATGCTAAACCTGACTCTGGGTCAGGGCCATGCAAAGCCTCTTGCTTCTCGAACAACCAGAGGGCCAGAAAACCTCGGATAATGCCAGGGAGTAAACAAACCTGAGGCCACAAATGCCTTTGATTCCATTTCAGTTGGGAGGCTCTCCAAGTCTGCATTCAAACTGGCCAGACTGTGGCCTCCCAGCCCAGCTGTGAGGAGGAACCAAACAGTCTGCCTCTTTCTGCAGCTTTAATTAACCCCTGTGCCTTGTCAGACCAGTGGGAAATGCTTCAAGATGGGAGATTCTTGAGTCAAACAGTTGAAGCTTTAAAATGAAGGAGTGGGTGGACCCTCCATAAACCTGAAGGTGACAGGAGAGAGCACAGACTTCCTCTGCACCCGTTCTAGGGAGCACCCAGGTCGTCTTAGCTGCTTCAAGGAGACCCACCAAGACAAACTGCCAGGGACACAGCAGAACCACGAGCCTTCTAAGTCCGTTTGTGCCAAGCACCACCAGTCCCCTCCGTCACCCGCAGGACAAATTCTCCACTCTCATCTGCTTACACCAGCTACGTCTCGGTGCCAGCAGCAGTAACCCACGCCTACTCGGCCACTTCATAAACGCATGTAAGAAAATCCTTGGCTGCTGTCACCCAATCTGTGCCTCGTCTTCTAGGACACTGAGCCTGATGTGAGCAGTGATGGTAGGAAGAGTCTGCAATGTCACATAGAGTCCTCCCACCTCAGTGAGGTTTCCAGCGCCTCTTCCTTCCTACCTGCGCTAATTTGTGAGCCTCGGATCTTATCCGCTCAGTGAAACCCTTTGTTTATACCCAATTACAGCAAGAGTCCACAAGTGACTAACAGATTATCCTCTCCTAAAATTGTCACAATCGGCTATTGTTATACGAACAGGGAGATCTCTGCCAGAGATCCACCGTGCACTCACTTCAGAACTGGGAACAAAATGAGAAGGACACTGGGTTTCATCAAAACCCTTGGAAGAGAACATTGCAGGGTTCAAAACCATAGTCCTAGACCATGTTATCAAGCGTCAGGAAGAAATGAAAGAAAAAGAACTTCTGGCACAGGAAAATATAGCAGACATAAAATATCTAGAAGATCTGGCATTTTAAAAAAGCATTTTGTAAACTGTCTAAAGAGGAAGATGAGAAGTGTTCCAGCCCTTACACAGTGATGCTGTCGACTGCATAGGAATGTATTTCCTTAATTACTACATGAGGAAAACATCTCCAAGACAATATAAAAATAAAATAAAACCTTAAAGAGGTGCATGTCATTATATGAAGCCATGTGTCACAAGGCAACTTCATTCAAGGACTCAAAACTGGATGGAGCATCAAATGTGATGTAAGGCCTTGATATACTTAGAAACATGCAGCATGAAATAGCTCATGTGATTTCCTCGAGTTTCTGACGCACCCCTTCAAAAAAAAGCGGAGGTAGTATTCATTTCAAATGAAAACCTAGATTATATACATTAGAGTGATGCAAGCAGCTATAACAAACCAATTCCAGATTTTTCAGTACCCTTACAAAATAAAAGTATATTTCTTACTTAAACAGCATCTCAGTGTAGGTGTTCCTGGTACATAAACTGCTTTTCTCCATTTCGTGACTGAAAGACCCAAGGTCCTCCAAACTCCTTGTGGCTCTGTTATTTCTCTAGAGCCTTGAAGCCATATGTTCTACTCTGGCAGATGGAAAAATAGAAGGCAGACAAGTCACACTTCTTCTTAATATCCTTGGCCTTGCAGTGGCATCATTAATTTTGCTTATACTCCAATTGGTGAGAACTAGCCACGTGGCCTCCCTAGGTGCAAAAGAACTGGGAAATATAATTGCTAGGTGTGGAGCTGTTTTTACAATGACAACTCAATAATACGGAAGGACACACATGAATTTTGGGTTAAAATTTGCCATTTCTGCCACAGAGACATCTACCAAAGCAAACCAGGATGATCTGACTTAGCCAGACTACAGATAGAGTGGTCAACATGTTATCAATTAGGTTTTGTCAGTGGAGAGGAGACAGGTGACTTCAGGGGAGAAGTAAGACAGATACCAAAATAACCCAACAAATTTTAATCTTTCAGGTGCTCCCATGTTTCTGGTCCCCAAATGATTTACTTCATTTTGCCTGACTTGTGAGCTATCAAGCATTATACGGGATTTCCGTGTAAAGTGGGCAGAGTAAGGGCCTTTATACGCCACAAGCCTCTTTCTAAACTCACAAAAGCAACAACAACAACAACAAAGAATTTTCAAAAACTTTGTCTGTAAAATAAGCAAACAGCTATAAGCAATGAGGCATACTGCCGAATACTGAAATATGGACAAAGACGAAGTAGGATTCTAGCA